GGCTGACACTAAAGTAGACAGATAACAGTCTACATCTTCACAGGCACAAAATGTATGTAATGACATGTGAGTAGAAATTAAAAATTTTATATAAATTTTGACTTGACCTTGACTTAAACAGATACAAAAGTTGTGTGTGTAGAGTCAGGAATTCACTGTGTCTGGTAAATGTTATAACATATACAGTATATATATAAAAAGAACAATTTGTATAATGCAAAACAGAGGTCTGCACAAGCTAAAATTTTTTGAGACTGTACCTGCTCACTGTTTTTGTAAAAGCAAAAGACATCTCTGCTTGTGTTCCCACACCCACTCACCAGTTACAGTCAAATTTCATCAAATGATATCTGAGACCACACTGACATTCTGTGTAAAAGATTACTCCTAATGTCTAAATGTGTTGAAGACAACAGCTATAATTCACAAACTGTTGCCAGGAAGCAATTTGGTGTTCATGTGGGGGGCTTCAGCACATGAACAGACGGCTGCCCAGCCCACACCATGGTCCCATATTACAACGTGACGGCCCATGACCACTTGTAGCCTCGGAAAACGAACCCTGCGCAGCCAACATCTGCTGTGGATTTCACAGGGCCATCGAACTGGCTTTCGCTGCATGCAATGACCTTTGACAAGGGCTGCACTCGCTTAACTGCACAGGACTGTAGACGTCAGAATATGCAGTGCTGTATGTGAATCCCTTCGTATAGCTCCCTCACAGACATTTTATCAGTGATTTAGGAAACACGTCGCAGAAGTCAACCAGTTCCTTGTCTTGAAAGAAGAAAAAAAAACATAAACAAAACATGTTCCATCTCCTAGACACAAATTCTAGTCACCCACAGTGCTCTCCCTACAGACATGTTAACCCTTAACATGTGACACGGGGTGTTACAGGCTGGCTGGCAGTCACCCAGCCACCCTGGCTTTGTGGTGACTCAGGAGCTGCAGGGAAGCAGAGTCTGGCTTCCAATTCACTGACCCTTGCCTCCATTATGGCAAATAAACTGCATTTATTACATGTACCCTTGTCACTTAAGGAGGCAGAGGAATAACTAACTATAAGACACACCGAGCAAGAGGGAACAGGAGAGAGGGAGAGGGAGAGAGAAGCCATCTGTAACTGCTAAGCTAAAGAAACTAGCAGATCTGAAGAGCATGTAAACAACAGAAACACCAGCACCTGGAAATAAGACAATATGCTTACTGCAGCACAGCAATAAAAGTCCTGTTAAGAGATAAAGGGTTTCTGTCCACTGAAACCCTAGAGGGCTTTTAGTCTGAAATGGTTACAGGAAGTGTTTGTATTGACGTATAATATAGTAACTTTTACAGGAGCATTTCAAAATGAGGCTTCGTACCAATATATTGCTATGACCAGCAATACATATCAAAGAGAAGGAATTAGAAACAAAGGCCTCTTACTTTAAGTTGAGATAAATAAAGGCCCTGCTCTGCTGTTGCAGTTCAGCCAAAAATTCTCTAAATCTAGCGACAAATGCACTAAGTTGGCAACACTGCAGGCTGTAAACGTCCAATTAATAGAACCGTTTGCGCCAAATCATTTCAAAAGAGCAAATGCCAATGAGGGAACTGCAACAGAGTCACGTATCATTCGGCTGACCAATGAACACTGAAGTACGATCAGTCAGTCAGTCACGGACATTCACGATTATAAGGCGGACCCTGCTGTTGTAGTCCAAAAACCACCTTGGTTTGCACTTCTCTCCTCTATCTTTCCCTCTGTCTATATATTTATTTTATCTTTTTTTTTGTCTCCTCATCCTCCTCCTCGCTGTGGATTTGTACAGTATATGCTCCTTAGTCACTCTAACATTGTGGTCTGTATGCCTCCCACTGCAGCCTTTACACTGACCATTAGAAGAGGGTGTGGAGGATTGGACAACAGGGGCCCATCCTGGGAGGCCAGTGATGGGACAGTTAAAAGCATAGCCCATAATGTCAGGTTACTTACAGTACCTGTGTGTGCGTGCGTGCGTGCGTGCGTGTTATCACACCTACTTCTGCATTTAAGCACAGTGGCTACTGCTGTTTGGCTTGTAAAATGAATCCTGGGGCAGTCATTCCCTCAGCATGGGGCTTTTTACACACATGCGCGCCCCCCCCCACACACTCACACACAGTTGCTCTGCATGGCTGAGCGGAAGGGCATCTGCAAGCTGCTCTCATTAAAATAACATGTTGCTTAGAGTGGGTATCCTTACACACAAATACACAGAGTGACCGTAGAGTTTATAGCAGCATGGTATTGAAGCATACCCATATGAGTCACACAAGTGATACCTAAAATTGTGATAATCATTCTTATCTCCTCTTTCATTTTATCTTTTATCTTTCTCTATTCATCTTTGAGGCTTACGGTTGATCTGGCCTGTAGGGGTGAGCTAAGGACTTTTTCTTTTCTTTTCTTTTCTTTTCTTTTCTTTTCTAAGTCTGTGTGAGTTTCAGTTTCTCATAATGTGTCTCTCATTCTTACATACCGACAGACACTGAGCTGTCTTTTTAATGGTGTGTCTTTTTCGCTGATCCATCATTGTGACAACCCACTGAAATGCTCAATGACCAGCACGAGGAGGTTCATCTATGCAAAGTGTTTTTTTGTTCTATAACCTTTGATAGAGTTTATGTAGCAAAGATACAATCACCATTTTATAGCCACAAACAGAAAACACACACACATGAAAGCACATCACTGTTTATTGTTTTAGTATTACACACAGATATAACCACCTATCATAGCAATGAGGCTGAAATAACAGAAATGTTCCATGAAATTACAGTGTGCACTTACAGGACAAATTGTTTGTGCCCTCGCCTGCTCCTGTGTGTGAGTGTGCGTGTTTTAAAGCAATTCCAGTTAATGAAAAAGAGAGGCCTTGTTTCATTTTGTGTTTTTCTGAGTTCAGCCACTGAGTAGAAGGTAGCAGGTTCTTTCTCTATCCACACAGTACAGTCAGGTTTGACACCAACTGTTGATGTTTTCTTTCTTTTTTTTTTTTTTTTTTTTACTTTCCTCACAGGCCGATTGTTCGTCTGATAAATTATCAGAGGAAGCCTGGGGGCTGTGCTTATTCATTGTTTTACAGGGAAATTGAATTCATCACCCAGAAAAACAACTTTACATACATTTGCATATTTTTCTCAGATTCCATAAAACATCTCACAGCCCTGTGGGTGGTCCTGACCCCCGAGCTGAGAACTGCTAACTTTCAAACTTTTCTACAGTAAAACAACACCCATTCACTTTGGCCTTGGCTCTGTCCCATGCTGAGTAAAAGAAAAAAAAAAAAAAACAATTGTAAATTAACAAAGCAGGGGAGTTGAATCAGATAAAGAATGTACCAGCAGCAGGAAAACTCACAAGTTGCCAAATCATGACATTACTCCAGACAGAATCTCAGTGACTAATAAATTCTCACTGTAATTATGCGCAGAAAGTAGCTAACATTTCTCTTCTGGGGGTTTTGAAGTTCTTTCCAAGGTCGTGGAGCCTCCTATCAGGTCTGGACAGTCAGTCTGATTGGGGGACTTTTTCCAGCAGGGAAAACAGCTTTCTGCAGAGTAGAGGACTTTGTGTCGGCTTAACGCTGTTAAACCTACAATCCCCACAGACAAACAGTGTCTAAACCTGACACTGCTGACCCACGCAAACACACACACGCACACACTCTGACTGAATTCATGCATGTGCACAGACAGCCATACACACAGAGACGTAGACTTTCTATGCATAAATCATTAATGGATTTCTGGCAAACACACATGCGCACAGGCACTATTGAACATAAATAATAGACAGCGAGAAATTGTTTCGCAAGGAGTGACACAAAAACGAAAATTTTGAGGTGGAAACATAATCACAGTAAATACATTCACAGGCACTTGTACATGCTACAAACACACACCTCATCCTTTGGTTTTCTGGAGTCTGGTGTTTATACTCTTTTCCTTTGTCTGTCTAAAATCACTTCTTTTTTTTTTGGGGCCGTAAACCAAACAAAAACTGGTCTAGTAATGATCAGAATGAACAAATATGCAGCGCACAGTTTAGTCCAATACCTTTATTTAATGCCTTCCTTGAAATAATGAACACACTTTGGCGATTGATTGAATGATTTTGGCAAATCATGAGATTTGAATTTTCTCTGTGGTGTCCGTGGTGGAAATGTGATGAATCACATTTGTCTTTAGATATAACTTCTCATGCAAAGCTCCTTTTATTTTTCTCTTATCAACTGATATGTTTCTGTATTTAATAGTTAGTAATATCTTAGAGTATTTGGAATGGAGTAATGTTTTCTTTTTTAAATACCTTTAATTTCATGATGTCATGACGTTTCTAGTATAAGCCGTATATAGTGCAACAGTGCTGCCTCTCCCACTGAGCTTTCACACACATTTTCATCTGCTTCATCCACTTGCTTTCTTTGTCGCTGATATTTTTCCATACCTTCTTGGTTGGTGTTTTTCACCATCTTTCTGGGTTTATTATAGTCATCTTTTATCTATAAATTCAGTCTTTGGTTCTTGCTTCTCTGTTTTACAATCTGTCTTTTCTCTCCATATTACCTCTGCTCAGTACTTCTATCCCTCTGGCTCTCTGTGTTTGCTCTATTCTCCAATTACCTCTTGAAAATGCACAGGTGATTTTTTTTGATATTGCAGAGCTGAGAAAGGAAAAATGTTGGGTATATAAAAGCAGCCAGTCCAAATGGCCTTTTTTTCTTTTCCTTTTTTTTTTCCTCCTTCAAAAATAAACTCTGGCTGCAATTTTTTTCACTCATAGAGAAATTTAGCTGAAAAGCACCTTGTGATGGTTTCTCTCAAATGGAAAAGCTTTTAGTTTGGCTTTTGGACACTATTCAAGCACAATGAGCTGACCTTTGTCTCCTCTACCTCATCCTGTTCATCCCCTCTCCCTTCCCTATTGATATCCCTCCCCTTCCATCTCCATTACTCTCTCTCTCACCCCCCAGAAGGAGGAGTTGTCCCGTGTGTCAGGCTTTGTTTCGGAGAATGGGAAGGAGCAGCTCATGTTCGAGGTACCACTAAACGACACCGGCTCGGCGGGACTCGGTGTCAGCCTCAAAGGAAACAAGTCCAGGGAGACAGGAGAGGATCTGGGAATCTTCATTAAATCCATAATACATGGAGGGGCTGCATACAAGGTGACATAATATTCTCACACATACCCAAATGAGCAAAAATAAATAAAGTTCTCATTTAATGCATTTTATTTGTCCCATGTAAACTTCTTTCTAAGCCGGAAGTTAGCGCTTTGTCTTCCCTGTGGGCCTAAAGTTTACCCCAGTCAATAGAGTCTCACACAAAATTCACAGAGAGGTCACGTCTTCAATTAAAGGAATGAAGTGGAACATTACGGAAAATAATAACTACCATCACAATTGATGTTTGTATATGAGACAGTTGTGTGAGAGCTGTTGTAGCCACTTCAGCTGTCTCTGCTTCTCTGCCTCCATGTGCTCTTGGACTGTTAACCTTTGACCTCTTACACATCGGGACACACTTGACATGTCACAGACAGCCTAGAGACAGACAAGCAAGCAGATTTGCAAAAACACACACATACATCCACACACCTGTGCAGCTTTTAGTATCTGTGCAGAGACAGATGGGAATAGATGGCACCAGGTCTGCTGTAGAGGCGTTGTAAAAAAAAAAAAAAAAGCAGACACAGGCAGCTGATGGCAGTCTGTGTTCAGGTGGTGTCAGAGAGTCATGGGAAAATGTGTGTGTGCTATTTGTGCGTGTTGGTCAAGTTTTTGGTTTTTGTTTCTGGATTTATGCTGGTTTGACTTCAGGGAGATGCTCAGTAAAGGGTACAGGTGTGTGTGTGTGTGTGTGTGTGTTTGTGGATGTGTGTATATACAGAAGATCTCTGTCAATTGTCCCATTGCAGAATATCTAAACACACAGCAAACATGAATGGATCAGCTATCAATTACTTGATGACACATACATGCACCTGTGCACATACGTTTTTTTTTTTTTTTAAATGAACGCTGGTCATTTATGCATAGAGCTGTAAACATACACAGACAGTATAGCTGTAATCCCAGTACACACTATGTTTTAATTAAACTGGTGTGTGTTTTACAGGATGGGCGTCTGAGTGTCAATGACCAGCTGGTAGCTGTAAATGGAGAGTCGCTTCTGGGACGCTCCAATCACGTGGCCATGGAGACGCTCCGACGCTCTATGTCGCAGGAGGGAAACGTACGAGGGACCATCCAGCTGGTGGTGCTGAGGGCTTTGAAGGTACACACACTCTTTGTCTTATGAGGGCCACACCACTGGGACCTCAATTTGAAAAGAATGGTCTAGATTATGTGTTAATGTTTACTATAATCATCAGAGACTATTAGAGCTGCATCAGTAAATTGATTCATCAATTAGTTGATTATCAAAGCAACAACTTTGATAATCAGTTGATCTTTTAGTTCTATCTTTAAGCAAACATGGAAAAGTTCTCAGGTTCCTAAATACACTCTGGTTTTCTTTGTCTTGTATGATTTAAATTGAGTGTTGAACTGCTGATTAGCCAACACATGTGAAGGTGTCATCATGGGCTCTAGGATCTTCTGATGTGTGTTTTGTCAATATTCGCTGAAATTTTATAACCTGGCGTGCCAGATGGTCTGTTTCACATCTGTTACACATCTGGGAAGGTTTCGTTGGAAACTGTTTGGAAAAGTTGCTTTCAAAAAATACTTGGCGTGTGATTGGATGAACCATCTGTGTATGATATGACAGAGTAGGAGCATGATGATGAGGAAACACGACACAAAAGCAAGCACCAGTCTAGTTAGCATGTCAGAAGACGATTCTTGCCGTCCTCCTCATAGGACGCCGATTGGTCTGAACCACTGTGGTTCAGATACAAGCAACTAGCTTGGAGCGTGGCGAGAAGGCTCCTTGCTTGCAAATAAATCCGGCTGGTTTGCAAGGTTAGACATTTTAAAGGCCAAACAATGAATTGCATAATTGAGATAAAGAACGGTAGATGAATTGAGATGAAGGGGCACTGCCTGATGGGAAGCCTAATGCTGATGAACATAAAGAACTGTTTTAATGAATAAATAAAGATGAAAGACACAACACATGAAGTCTATTCATAACACACTTAGATATCTTTTCATTGTCAAAGCCTGAATCTAGGTCAGGACCCCTGCTGTCCGGCTGAGAGCATGTGCATGTTTCTGTGACTTGACTAAGAAGAAAACAAACATGCATGTCTCCTTTATCCCCACGCTGTGTCTCCTATCCTTTCTTTTGGCTCTTGGTGACTATACAGTAGCATCATTTTTTTTCTGTGGCCTCTGCCTCTGCGTCTTTCTACACATACTTGACACTAGTCTCCCTGCTCTCTCCCCTGCTCTTACCAGCAGCGCCAAAGACCATTTGCACTTCAGCTATTCACATTTTGTGTGTGAGCTTCTTTGTGTGTGTTTGTGTGTGTGACAGAGTGTTCTTCAGCCAGTTGTATCTCTTTTCTTTATGAGTGTAAAAAAAAAAAGAAAAAAAAAAAAGATGCTTTTTCATCTTGGCTGCTTTTCAGTTGATGCCTTTAACACAGCTCTGTTGAATGTTTGTACAAACCCTTGCGCATACAAAGCCAGGTTTTTGGCTCGAGTGTGAATGGCCTGTTGCATGGCCCGCTGGTAGTGGAAAAAGAGCTACATACACACCGTGCATCATATTTCCATTCACAAACAGAACAAACACACACACACAGATAAACGGATTAACACAAAGAGAAACAATACAGAGGACAAAATGTATGCTATTAAGAGGTGTGTGTGTGTTTAGAGTAGAATACCCTCACTGATACAGTATAAATGGGGTGGGACAAAATATTAGAAACATCTTTCAACACACATTAACACAATACAACAGCACCACAAAATACAGCTTCCAAAATTATTGTCAGCTACTATAAAGTGACTCGACACCTGATTTAACATTCATGGAGGTAAGGTTTAATGCTTTGTATTAAAGTGCATTAGTTTTAGGTCAGTGTACCTAATAAACTGGCATCTGAAAGAATGTGTGCATACAGGAGCATTCTGGGGGCTTGCAGGGCTCAGGGCATCCCCCTACCAATACCTTGATGGTCAAAGCTGTTGGCAACATCAAAGAGTTGCATCCATGTTTCCCTCTTTGTCTTAAGAGTGGAAAAGACAGGATTAAAAAAAAGAGGTGAGCTGAAGGCAGATAGATAACAGACTGTACCTTAAAAGCCTTTTTTCAGCCTCGGTATTGATGCTTTTAATATTGCAGAAGTGGACCACTTTGCTTTTTTTTCCCCCTCTTCTGATCTGTTTTTTTTCTTCTTTTTCTTGGATTTGTCCTTTACTGTTTTTCTTACTCACTTCTTACTGTATTCATCTCCAGCCAGCTCTCTCTCCCTCCGTTTCTCACTTTATCCAGCTGCTCTTTTCATTCAATAACTATTGAAACGCTCTGTGTCTCCAAGATAAATAAGTACTGCTCTTATTTAGCAGGTTCCATGGATGTAACCGTAACATCAGCAATGCTGTTTCCACAGTATCTGAATTTACAACTTTGATGGAGGAGGTTTTAGAGAATTGACGCAATTCAGTATTAATATTGACTCTAGTCCCAGAGGAAAAACTGACAGTATTTTTCTTCTTTTTAGACAAGTGAAGAATCCTGACTGTAATTATTTGGCACAAGCCTGCACATCATGTATTCAAGATAAAAAACACATTTAACTAGAACTTAGAGTAGAGTAGTATAAGGACTTGCTAGCACCCTGTACTTCTCCTTAACCATTTGTCTCAAAAAGTGTTTCCAAGCAGCAATCCTGCTGCCAATCAAAACCTTTTTGTGGAAGAACCATTCTGCTCTTTCCTTTTTTAGCACGCCAACACCCTGGCAAGAACCACAAACTGCTCTCAAGTAGAGAGTTATGAGAGCTGAAAGAACACCTCTGTAAATGACACACAGAGACGCTTGATGTGGAAAGCGTTGCTGTGTATCCCGCTGCTGACGCATGAAAACTGCAAGTTGTTTCTAGAATTTTCCACTTGACAAAGTTACTAATGGTTTTATGTTTTACATGGAAGAGTAAATGAAGCTGCTTTTGAAAGTATTCAAACGACTTATAATCCACAACACATCTTCTGAATAATTACAAACAAACCAAAAAAAAAAACCCCCAAAAAAAAACAAACTAATGATGGCAACCCTGATTAACATTGCACTGGGAAAAACAGCTAAGCAGAGAAAAACAGATCCAGGGTCCCGTAAGGCACAAATATTCCTAACATATCTGACTGTAGTTTAAACCAATGTTTTTATACCTCAAAAACCCTTTTTTTTGGCGTCTGAAGAAGCGTGCGTTTTTCAAACGTTATCTGATGGCACTGCGACACTGGTTAATGGGATGTGTGTTGGGAGAGAGCCAGGGAGGGGAGGAGGCCCACAGGACCTCTAACATACTGAAGAGTAATGTGTCCTGGGTTGAAACTGGGGAGAAGCTGGGCGAGGGGCAGGAACTGATGCTGACAGTGGGAAGGGTGGGGGTGGGGGGGGTCAAGAGGAAGATGACAAGGAGGATTTATTACACACAGTTCTGTTATATCTTCTTTGTTGTGTGAACAGAGAGCTTTTTCTATACAGAAACACACAAGTACACTGAACCGTACCATTGAAACACCAGACATATGCATACATGTGAAAGAAAACAAACTGTTTTCGACACACACACGCATGACAAATAAATGCAAATTAAATTCCTAAAGAAATACACACAAAAAAAGAGACACATCATCAGTGGAAACGGTGCTTTGTTTGATTATTCCAGCACTCTAAAAGAACCGTCCCTCCAGGGAATAGGTGTCAGTATGACTGTCATTGCCACACACTCAGACACACACACATACACACATAAAAGTGATCAGTGTTTGAGATAGTCACAACCCTACGGGCCATGGGAAATGAGGTCCCCTTTTTCACCTTGACCCTCCACTGTCTTTTGAGAGTCTCTCCCTTATTCAGTCTCTTGACATCTATTTGTGTTTGAATAGTCTACTCCAAAGCCCTCACTTGATCCTGTGGTCATCTCAGTTTAAATGTAATCCACATACCAGACACTTTGCATGATAAAAGCATCCGAGTTTTAAGACAGGTAAATAACAGATGCGACATCGAACTATCAAACATTTAATCAACATGTTGTATGTGTGTTTATTTCAGACCTAATATCCATTTATTAACAAACATCTGATGGTGTTACCCTTTCATAATTGTAAGGGAATTTAGGTAGCCACACCTGTCCGTAATCTGTCTGTCTGTATGAAATGCGTTTTGTTTCCTCCCTGTCTTAGGATCAACATGGTGTGTCACCCAATCGCTCATTTGACGGCTCTCCCGGCCTGTTGGGACCGATGAGCCCAGCGAATGGTCAGTCAGGATTGGTCGGTCAGGCCAACGGCCCCGTTCACCCTCCCATGGTGAGCAACAGTCTCTATGCATCTAATGGTGAGTGCACTTGTTTCACAATTTTCTGTCAGTGTATAAAACTTTTCTTTCTTAAACAGTGTTTCAGTTCATTCTTATTCCATCGCTGACTTCAGCTGAACTTGAAACATATTTCTAGTATTTTATTTTTTTTTCTATTTTTTTGCCATTAAAACAACATCAAAGGTGGGCATGTTATTTACAGTAAATCACTGCGTTAGTTTAATCATCATGAATGATAAAGCAAACTAAAAACAAACATAAACAAAACAGCTAGTGCCATCTACACTCCAGCCTTAATTAGATGCTATTCTGCCCCTCTTTTCCCTTTCATTTCTTTCCCTCACTCTCTCCCTGCTTTATTTTTCTCTCGTGTTTCTCAAGGTTGTTCAGTTTGTTTGTTATTGCTGGGTTCAGCCCGTTATAAAGAGTTATTTTAGTTCTGTGTGCCTCATATCGCTCTTTCTCAGTAGCTTTATCCGCTCCCACCCCTATATTATCTGTATGTGCTTGTGTGTGATCTGTGTGTGTGTGCGTGTGTGTTACATGCTTATGTTATTTTCAGCATTGGTATCTGTCTGCATGTGTCCCTGTTAAAAAGTGTGTGCGCATGTGTTTGTATATGTTTGCTTCTGAATGATATTTCTGCTTGTTTAGAAATGTGTTAATGGCTGTTTTGTGTGTGTGTGTGTGTGTGTGTGTGTGTGTGTGTGTGTGTGTGTGTGTGTGTGTTTGTGTGTGTGTGGCTGCGGCTGCGCCTGTGTGTGAGTGTGTTAGTTCAAGGATATTTGGCCAGTATCAAACACTCTTTTTTGTGTGTGTGTGTGTATTTACACTGACTCTGGTAAACAACTTTGACCTTGAAAACACTTTGCTGTTTAAATTCACCTCAGCTGTGGTGTCATTTACATACACACATTACTGTGTGTGTTAGCATGTGTAAGTGTGTGTCTGTATACAGTAAGCACATTTCTCAGGCTCTGTTGATCTGTTGCCAGTATTTTACTCTCCTAATGAACTATTTCACATGCTGAATCCATTTTATCTGGCATTGAAGCCCAAATTAAAATGAAGAAATCTTTCTCTTGCACCGATGTGTGCTTCTGCAGAAGAATAAATTGACTTTAATTATTCCCTACATATGTATTTATGCAGATGTGTTATTTTTGCATTTATAGATCTTTCTCTTTATCTCTTATCCATCTCTGCTTCTCATTATATTTTGCTACCACAAGTCTTACTCTCTCTCTTTTTTTCCCTTTCTGTGCACTTTGTCTCTTTGTATTCTCCCTCTCTCTCTCTGAAGAGTTAATCTATTTGGAGGCACAAAATAATATGATATAGTTTTAGTTTAGCTTCAGATATTATGCAATCTTCTCCAATTTTTCATCGAAGCATATTTAGATTTAGGTTTTGGGATGGAAATGACGTAATGTAATAATGACCCAGTAGTTTCTCACTAAAGGAGACACATGAAGATCAGTTTTCTCACCATGGTTACTGCTAATCAGCCTGTGAAAACAGTTGTATAATGTCATCTGGAGAAGCATTGCCCAAGTAAATTAATCTTGATTAATCAGAAAAGTTTAAGCGTAACGATGCAGGCCCCTGTTTTTAAGATTGAATTAAAAAAGAAAACCTCCCGGTATTATCACAGGCTGTCAGATTTATATGTCGGATTCTCGGTAACTGGTTTCCTTTTCGGAGGGCGAAAAGCAAGGGTGGAGATGCTGGGGTAAGAGAGAGGAGCAAAGATGATTAGACAGAGACATTGTAGACAAATACAGATGGTAGGAAGGAAAAGTTGAGAGCAGAAGAAGAGGACTCATATATCTGCTATTGGAGCAAACTGCTATTCATCTATCATCCACACAACAAATGCCTTTTTTCACTTCAAATAGTGGGAGTCAGTGAGAACAGATTTGTGTGTGTGTGAGGTGAAAGAAGAATGTGTTTTTGACAGTTCAGCTGATTAAGGTGCTGGCAGCGAGGAGGAGGAGGAGGAGGAGGAGGAGGGAGGAAGTTTAGAAAAAAAAAAAAAAGGCTGAAAACTGAGTGGGAGATAAAATGATTTATAGGAGATCTGAAAGGAGAGATAAATGACAGCCAAAATATCAGAAGATTGCAAGAATGGGAGCAGAAGAAAAATAAAGCAGGTGATTAGTGTAGAGAGAGTGAGACGGAGGGATAGAGATGAGAGGATGAGATATCTTCAGATGCTGCCGTTTTCCTCTAACTCCAGACGTCTCAACTTTCAGTCACGCATGTGAGGATGCAAGCACATAAAGGACACACTTTGAGGATTGTGCAATAATCTCAGCATGTCTTGTATGGCAGCCTTGCACTCTGAGAAGTGATGACTGTATGTAAATTGTGCTCGGGTGCGTTTAAATGTCTGTGTATGAAGTTGTCATAAGCTCGTTTATCAAGCAGACGCAGCCGTATCACCGCTCTACATCTGCAGTAAGTTCTGCAGATGAAGAGCAGCTGCATTTGATGTGAGGTTCTCATCCTTTTTATGTTTCCCTTATATTTTTCCCTCATCCAACTGCTTATCTCTGCCTGACTCCGTTGGACTCTTTCACTCGTCTTTCAATCACTCTAGTTTTTATTCTCAAGTGAGTTAAAGTTTCTGCTTTCTAGTGTTTCCAGTGTTCTCCCCTTCGCTAATGGCTGGTTTCCTGAACATTTACAGAGTAGGTTTATGTAAACAATAGAACACAGTAGAGTGTGTTTGGTTAAAGTGTTCCCCCTCCTATTTTTGAGTTTCAGATCATCACCGCCCGTAAACCTCAGAGGAGGCTGAGGCGACATCCAAACTAATACGTTTTAGTTTTAATCACTTTGGCGTCCACACTCCATCAGAGTTAAAACAGAGACTTTTTGTTTTAGTTTGAAACTTTGGGTTGTGTTGGAGTCTGGGCATCCAGAAACGGAGACCTTTGGAAACGATGACACAGACACCCACGTTTGCTCCTTGATTGGGTCTTATCGGCCTCAACTACCAGTGGCGAATGCAACATGAATAATGAATTACAAGCGTTCCTGACCTTGTTGTCTTTTCTAGCAGCTGTTGTGCGGTTAAATTCAGCATTTTTAACTCTGCCTTTATAAAACGCCGCCTCTCCTTGTTTGTAGAGTAGACAATCCGCTTCCTGTTTACACCGGCATGCGCCATCGTCGTGTGATATGAGTTATCAGGTGCGGTACTATTTTTCTGTACTATAGTCTTCGGTTGTGGTAGTGTGGACGGCGACACTCATCTCCCAGTAGTCCGTTTTAAAATGAATGTTAGTATGGATGTAGCATGAGAAAAATGTATTGCTTGCTTCTGTGATCAGTTCGAGCTGACAGCAGTTCCACTGGATACTAATAGTAGCTATTTTTCACATTTTGGCACCAAAAATCATATCCTCTAAGGATATCCTTAGAGACGTCTCAAAACAATCCTGCGGCTTAATCCACCTGTTCTGTCTTTATCCATATGCTCACTATATTCATCTCAGTCTTCATGCATGGCCCTGTGAAGCTCTCGAGCAGATGATTTTGTTGGTTTGTGTGTGTAAGAGTGCTGGCGTACGGCTTCTGGACAGAAAGGCTGTACTGCACTGTGTTTGTTAATCTGAGTTCTAGTGTACCGTCAGTCTGTTTCCAGGTCCCATCACTCAGCTAGTTTCTCTATAAACAAAACACCAGAGAGACACTTAGTCATTTCTATATGCGATACAGTGAACTCATATAAAACCTCTACTCAGCTGTGCCTTGTTTTATCCACGGTAAACACAGTCTGGCTAGCCAATGAGAGTGGAAAAGCAAGAATCACCTCCTAAGATGCTCATCAGTGTCACACTAGATTTAGAAGGAACTTTACTTTATGTTGATGTACTAATGGCTGTTCAAAACATGCTTTGCATATCGATAGACAGTGGAGAGATATTTTCTTTTTTCTTTTCAGTGACCAATGGGAGTTATTCTCACATGGATGAGGAAGAGGAGGGCGAGCTGTATGGACATGAGGAGTTCAGCGGATCTACCCAACACTCCTACCTACAGGAAAGGTTCGTGTTCATGTACGTTTTGTCTTGCATAGTCGCCACACAGAGTGTTTTAGAAATGAATCATATGCAAAGATAAATGATGACAAAACAAATGATGACTATCTTCTTTATTAAATGATCTGTATATATGTATATATTTGCAGCCTTAAGGAAAATGTGTGGAAATATAATTAGTATACTTTATTTATTTTAAAAAGTTCTGTTTAAAGATGTATCAGTGACTGTGGTTTTACATTACATGTTGCAAAATTGTTTGTCATTGTAGCTTGTGCTGTCAAATATTTTGGATGCAAAAGACTTAATCAACCTGACAGATTAAATCCAACTGTACTAGATAGTAAACTGACTCAATATATTCTGTTTAGTTTTTATCAGAAATGTGCCACAAATTTAAATTGGCCTCAGTTTTTCTGTTCATGTTTGAAGTGCAGTTGTTTCACAGGTCAATATGATTATATTTTGTACCTGCCTTCATCAAAGGTCTCAGTACATATAGTCCTGCTGGTCAGATCTCTCCTCTCAAAATACAAAGTGTGCAATGCGACACTTGTCTACAAACTAATTCCAGTCATTCATGGATGCTAGACCAGCATTCTGTCTGTATGTTGTCTTCATGAAGGCTACAAGAGAGATAAAAAATCAACTACATTATAATTTAAAAAGAGTAAGTAACAAATAACAGATCTCAAGGATTAAAAACAGTAACAGGGATTAAGCTGAGTGCTCTTTCTGTCAACATTCTACCATTGTGTTGTACTGACTGTATCATTGATTCTTTCTAGGGAAAACTCTCACATCTCCAGCCCAGCTCAGCCCCAGTCTCCCACCCAGAGCCACAACCAGAGCCAGCGACAGTTCCACCAGCATGTTAAAGCCTCCAAGAGCATGGACCTGGGTACGACTCAGAACCAGCAGCACACTGGTGGGGAGATTTTTCTGTTTATCTGCTCTGCATGGTGGCCGCATGCATCTTATGCTCACATATATTTAAGTATCCCTGCTTGATGCATGGCTGCTGCACCAATGGCATACTCCTCGAAGCCACATGCAGACTGACACTTCTGCAGACTTGTACCGCCACCGTACGCAGGCACAGCTACACATGTGGGTGGGCAACCACTGATCCCCGCTGCGTGAGCTTTGCAATTGGCATCTGTCAAAAAATGGTTTTGATCTTATTTTTGTCGTTGCGTGTTTGTTTGTGTGGTTGTGTTTTATGTTCTTACTAGGATGGGGAAATCTGTTATCTTATGCTTCCATGACTCCTTCTGTGGAAGCATTTATGTGTTATACATTGAAGTCTGAATTGTGTTAATAATTAAAACATAGCCCAGTAATATAACCCATTTGCTCCATCAATAACAGGAGAAAGTTCTTATCAGAGGAAGACTTGTATCGCAGAGAAGGAAGGACTTAGATGAGAGACGACACGGAGGAAGTATAAGTTAACGTAGAGGAAGTGGAGGAGAGACACTTGATTGTCTTTCGGCTTGTCTGTGAATTTCTCTGTAACTAAGAAAGCTCTCGTAGCTTTAAAGCTGACTAGAAACGGCAGGCTGCACAGTTACCCACTCAACCTCTCCTTCTGTTTCTGTTTCTAACCCCTTCTAACTTCTAACAAAGAAAGTGAGATATGAGTCACAGTTTGTGCCACAGGATGTTAATTCACATTCATCATGGTCTTTTATTTATGCAAGAACAAGTCAGAGGCGGCTACCGTGCGTCCCGCTTTCCCCGGTCGTCTCTGTCACCTGTTGCTCTCTGGTTACTGACACTCGGATGCGAGGGTTCAGTGACATTTCAGTGATTGGTAAAAAGTCAGCTTTAGAAAATATGTGTATGTGTGTGTAGTTACGTCTGTGCTCATGCATACATCTGTGTAATATGACAGTGGATGCAGAAGCACAACAAAAGCTTATTGTTTCAAATGTCACTTCCCTCAGTCCTCCTCCTCAAGCTGGCTCCACTGCCAGCTGTGTGTGTGTGTGTGTTCGTGTGTGTGTGTGGTTGTGTGTGGTGTTGTCTAGTGTCTGTGTGTAGTAGTGGTTGTGTGGTGTGTGGTGTGTGTGTGTGTGTGTGTGTGTGTGTGTAAGAAAATGAGAAAATGAGACAAAAGAGCAGGAGACTATTTGAATAGCGTATACGTCCGTTTCTAGAAGAATAACAGACTGATGGCATATACTGTATATCTGTACATCACCTCCTTTGTTTTTTCACACACTTTATTTTCACTAAATGCGAGACTAACATATTAGAATTGAATTCATGTTTGCTTGAATGGCACAACATGTTTTCATTGCCAAACCATCGAGCAGCAGTAATAACAGCTTATTAACAAACGTCTCTCTCTTTTTTTTTTCTATGTTGACAGTAGGGGAACAAGATTTAACCAAGATTACAAAGCTGTTTTATATCCAGAAATAGTTTAGAGAGGAGAACCTTCCATCTTTGAGGATAAATGTTATCCCTTTAAACTAGCCTGAAATCCTGTTAGATCCCTCTCTGCTGTTCTCCTTGTGATTATTAAGATACTTTGTTAATTGTGACAAAGTGCTGTTCAGAGAGATCCAGAAACCCTGCCTGCTCCGTGGTGATAGTTAATATGTATATGTATATACTTAGGGGTTGTGTACAATGTTCTAAGTTGTGAGAGAACAGGGAGAATGAGACTAATATGTAGTGCACCAATAACAAGAGCTGAAGTTCTGCTATAATCACCACTACATATGAACAGTAACCAGGTTTCCTAATGAGGTAATAAAGTAACCTAACTTGAGCATCAATTAGCAAATAATTCCTTGTCAGCATACTTGCCTTTGCATAAGCATATGGAAATCAGATTCGGCTCATTAGTACTGTATGTAGATGCTCCATACAAGGACACGTGGTGAGTTTCTTTCAGGTGTAGTTTTGAGTAACAGAGTTCAAGAGTTACATCAAGAGTGTAATATTTACAGAGACACACGTAGACGCCGCCATGATAATATATCTTCCACTTCATGTGCGATCATGAAAATATAAATCTATTGAAGGTCAAACTTTTGGTAAGATATGTAGTTTTTCAAGCTGCTTATTTTATGAGGCACTTTTTAATTACAACGTGACACATGTAGTTCAACATCAGGCGGTGTTACATAGTTTATGGTTTCTACATGATTTAGGACAACACTACCTGAGCTATAAGTCTAAGTATTAATTCACTGCCAATGAGTGTGGCATAAAAACAGAGTGGGACAGATGTGGACACAGCATCTGTGCATGTAGCTTCTGTTGTTGTAGCTTCTTCTTCCTTGAGCAAGAGAGCTTTTTGTTGCTGTTTTCAAACCTTTCAGCGCTTCATGTCTGTAAATGCTGCTGATAATAGTGTATAATTACTCCATGTGCATTCATGTGCAAGTCATAATTTTAATCAGTGTCATTTTGTGCAACGTGAGATCTACATTTTACTGCTACTTTTCCAGTCATTGTTTTGTGAGACCATGCTGTATTTTGCCTGTGGTGTTTGTGTTAAAATGTGTGTGTGTGTGTGTGTTTGTGTGAAGGAGAAAAAAAAAAACTAGAAAGGGAGGCAGAGACAGCATTCTCAGCATTTCATTCGTGGGTCAGTTACATAATTTCATTTTTATTTAATTTGTCCTGATTTCATTTTCCGCCCCAGCCCAATTAATCATTTAACAATAATTTAAGATTGGTTCCAAATTATGAACTCCCTGCCCTGGTTCTCACTGTCCTCTCTCTCTCTCTCTCTCTCTCTCCATCTCTGTCTCTTCTTCTCTCTCTCAGCCTTTGTCTTTGTCAGAGTTTGTCACTCAAGTTCGTTCAGTGTGAATGTGAGCGGAACCACATCAGTTCTGTAGCTCAGTTTAAGATTACAAAGGTTGTTGGAATGAATCAAAATGGAGTGCGTGTCAGTAATTATTTCAGTTCAAACTTAAATTGCAGCCCTGTTAGTCTACTTGATTGTACCTCTCTGACCGTCCCTCCCTGGTGATGAGCTTCTGTGTGCGTCACACACGTGGCATCTACAGATCTGCTGATGTAGGCGCATACACATGCACGCTGATCCGCAAACTACTGGGTTGCTGAAGCAGTCATATTGATTCACCGCAGACTCATGCCATCAGACACACACACAGCTAGAATTACACTTCAGGCTTGGTTTTCATTATAAAAGTATTTGCTGTGAGAAGCCATGTTACTGCTTGGTTTTTGTGGTCTGAGTGTGTGTGTGTGTGAGAGTGTGTATTTGGCTACCAGTCAATGTGTTTCTTGTTGGCTCTGGACTGCTTTGTGGCTTTAGGAAAGAGTGAGGAAAAGCAAAATAAGGACTGGCGGAGACGTAGAAAGTGAAAGGAGGATTAACAAGGAGCAAAGGAGGGAAAGAGGGAGAGAAGAACGCTGCTGGATGGATTGAGAAGATAGAATGGCAAAAAGAGGGAAACGGGATGACTGAAGGAGATGAGGGAGGGTGAATGACAAATGAAGTGGTGGAGAAGGGAGGAAGGGAAATGACTTCAGTAGCAGTGAAGCTGACTGAACATCGCAGAGAAAAAGAGCAGCTACTGCACCATCTTGTAAAATGAGACAGAAAGAATAATAGTCTGATAGAGAATGATGGAGACAGAAGGAGGAGCTGAGACGGAGGGAGGAAGGAGAAGTGCAATTTAAATTTAAAAAAGAAAAAAAGTTTTTTGGGGATGAGAAACACTTTTGCACAGTTGGCAAGTCGAGCACAAAAAAATGGAAAATGTAGACGTCAAGGGAAGGGAGTAATATCTACAGCAATAAAATAAGTGTGTGAGTTCATGTATTATATATTAACACTTTTTATGTTTTGTTTCAGTGGCAGATGAGAGCAACGTAGGATCCCTGATTGGAAACACTGCTGGTGAGCCAAACTCAGATACTGCCTACACATGCACGATAATCCACATCATAGACGCAGAGAGACACTGAAACACATTCACAAACATTTCACCAAATGCTGTTTAATTTTCAAAAAAAATGATCGTGTTTTCCAAAGACGGCAAGAAAGAGAGAAAAGGGCAGAGTTTCACGTAGGAGAAAAGTAACAAACTGAACCGACGTGAAAAGTGGGAAGCAAGAAACAGAAAGTGAGAGCAACAGCATTAAACCGGGGCTTGATCATGTGAAACCTGCAGATGACAATACTTGTCACATGTGCATGTGTTTTTATCTTTAGTCTTTATTTGCAAGGAAGTGCACACTTGGGCTCAATTTCAAGTCAGAATGAAATGCACCATGATGAGCGATGATTTGCCACTACAATAAAACAAGAGAAAAGAGTCAAAGAAGAAAGAGTAGATACAATATATGCTGATGCAAATTCATACAAAAGGTTCTCTGTCTTCTTTTACAATTAAAAAAAAAGAAAAAAGTTATGCAATCAAAAAGACCGTTGCTGTATCTATCATGTCACCGAGTTCATCACTGTGTTTGAAGCCATGTTTCCTCCCTTTTCTCTATCCTCTCTCCAGTCACATGTACGTGCCACTTCACTCTTCCTCTTTCATCCTGCCTCTTCTGCCTCCTATATACACTTGACTCCTTTCTGGCTCTATAGACATTCCTTAATCCTTAACTTGTTCAAAGTGCAGATGAAAGTGAGAATTGCGGAAGGACTGGAGAGAGAGGAGAAGGGCCAGACTGTGGCCACTTCTTACAGATATGCATAGACAAGCTTGTTCATGAGGGTAGGAGAGAGAGAAAGAGACAGAAGAGACAGAACAAGAGAGAACACACTCATCTTAAAGGAAAGCACAAGCACAGGGGAACAAAGATGACTGATGCTTCAAAACCTTTCACCTTATTAGCCTGCACACACTTCTTTATAAAAGTTTCATGTCGAACTTTTCTTTTTTGCTTTGCCTTGAAGTCTCCCCCATTTCATTTGTAGCTGCTTGAATGTAAGAGCACTCTACCTCATTCCACTGTGTGTGTGTGTGTGTGTGTGTGTCTGTCTTGCTGTCTGCCACTTTATCCCTGTCAATCAGCCCAGCCTTTTTCCACATTCTGCTGTGCCTCAGTTTTATACATGGTGGTATTGACTTTTTAAAGTATATTTTTGGGCTTTTTATGCCTTTATTAGATAATACAGTAGAGAGAGACGGCAGAGAGAGGGGGAATGACATGCAGTAAAGGGCCGTCCGATGCGGGATTCGAACCGGGGCTGACCGCAGCGAGGACTTTAGCCTCTACATATGGGGCGCCTGCTCAACCCACTGCGCCACTCAACGCCGTGGTATTAACTTTTTATGAACTGGCTCCATAACCAATCGAAAGGGAGCAAGAAAGGCAGTATGTGGACCATAAAAGACAATATATGGAAACAATGCAAAACATTTATTTTATTAGAGTGAAACCCTAATATAACAAAACTAACTTTTCTCTTCTTCTAACAGCTGAAAAAAGATGGAGAAAACATCTTTTTTCACCTTTTAATCCTGGGTTTGGAGCTAAAGTGCAACCGTATGCTAGAAAGCGTGCCGTATGATCCGCAACTTAGACAGTGGTTAAATGTGTTCTGAACAAGATATGCTGGTGTAAAAGGGCAGGTGAGGGAACATCTTGAATAAGAAAAAGAGGATTACTTCGTGGTAAACATGGAGAGTCAAGGCTTTGCGTGAAGAAGAAAATATAAAACAGAAATACTGTACAACTCTAGCGTCATAGACTCTGGTTATGTATTCCTTTAGGTTTCCAAAACAAAGCTTTATTGTGAGCAAACTGAATCTTAACATCTGTTTATGTTTTTGTCAGCTTTTATTAGCGATGTCAAAACGTACGGGGCCCTTCTCGCTGTCAGAAGATTGTAAAACGGAAAGATCTTGAATAACTATGAATTGGCTTCAGGTGTAAAATGAAATCAGCCTCATTGTCAGTGACTTTCCTTTGTGTTCCAGGACCTGCAGAGCACATTGTTTCTCACTGACAGAGCTCAGTGAATGACATGAAGCAAGCTCGGGGAATAGGGCTTGTAATTTAGGATGAAGAGCGTGACAAAGTTATGGGGCTCGGCTGGATGAACGTGTTAAGGAGACCTGGGGGATTAAATACCTAGATTGTCTCTATAGCCTTGATATGGAGGAGTATGGGGTGAATTTGGTTAATGGCCGCATTTTCTCCTGCTTGCTCTGCTTTATTGTGCTGCACTGTAGACTATAGCTTGTTTTTAAAACACCTTCTGTATCTAGAACATATGCTGCAGAACAAAAACAGAAATATTGGACTAAGACAGACAACATGGCACTGTCAGTGAATTATACTGTGTGGTTTTATTTACTGTTGCATTGTCTGTTAGCAGTGAATCTAAACTGACCTGGAATGACTTGACCTGGTGGTGGTTGTGTAATATATGAAAATTGCAAAGTGAGATCAACATTTTTTTTTTTGAATCATCCGAAATCTAACCACAGTTTTCATCCTCACCTACTTCTAGCTCTGTTTTCCACAGTAACATGCCGGTGGAATGTCCAGCAAAGCCTTCAAGTGCTCCTGTCTTTTCCCCTGCGAAAGACAGACAACATGACTTTATATACACTACACTAAAGCCTGTTTACACATTCCGTGTACCTGTTGCTTGTGAACGTGTCTCCTGTTTTACAATGCCATATAGCCCGGAGAGTTGTTAAATAGAGTGTGTGCCTGGCAGCCATGGTCGTTTTTTTGCCAACCCACTTTCCTTTGCTCTAATGTATTTTTTATAAGTGAAATGCTTCCAACAACCGTGCGCTGGGACGTCAGACAGCTGCATGGACTTTGTTGAGTGACAGAGAGAGGGGAGTGTGGGGCTGGGTCCTGGGAAGTGAGCAGTTTTAAAGACAATGACTTCTGGGAATGCTGTTTTCACTTACAGCAGTGGTCTTTCCCTCCACACCCAGAGAAACCACCGGGCACACGCACACACACACACACACACACACACACACACACACACCCACACACAAAACTATTACCGTTATGGTAATGTTATGGTAATGGAAAGACTCCATCATCTTGTGGAAAATGTGAACCTTGGAAGATGTCATATTATATTATAATTTTGCAGAATCTGAGATGCAAAGTGATGGAAATAGGAGACCATATTACAAAGTGTGTGTGTGTATACGTGTGTGGAAACCTTCCCCTGAAAGTGAGCGTGTGAGTGAGAAACTTAAGTGTGTTTTTGTGACTAAATACTTTTCCCATGTGTGGAGGCTGCAGTTGAGCAAATTCTGTAACTCCCTTCAGTAAAGTTTAAACAGTACTTATTTTTGATATACATAGAAAAGTCCCCAATTCAACATTCTAATGTTATAAATACTGATGGAGAATACGAAACTGTAAACACTACTTGACGGAGTGTGTTTGTGTCTTTGTGGTCAGACATGCCTCATGGTTTCTGTGGTGGCACAGAGAAAGCATTCCAATAATACATTTGATTTATTAGCAGGAAGAGTAAAAATGAAATGCAGTGATGGACAAATTATATCATTCAATGATATCATTTAAGACACTGTCAGAATATAAAGTTCGCTATACAGATGTGAACAGTGTCATGGTGAAAGAAAGAAAGTAAAACCAGCATATATCAATCTATCTTGTATGGAGTGATTCTCTCCTCAGACCACTTTAAATAGGACAGTGCAGTCAAACTCACACTCACTCACAAATACTGCTGACAGGACATAAAATGAACGGTTGCAGCTGTGTTTCTTTCACCGTGTTTTCCTTTGGTGATGGGGACAGCCTGGAGCTCTGTGTGTGTGTCTGTGTGTGTGTGTGTGTGTGTGTGTGTGTGTGTGTGTGTGTGTGTGTGTGTGTGTGTGTGTGTGTCTCTTCGAATCGGTGTAGGAGAGATGTTTCCTTATGAAAATAAATGGTGAGCAATGAACATCCACAGGAATGATGAAAAGCTTGTCAGAGAAAAGTGTGTGTAGGGAGTATGTGCGCATGTGTACTAACGTCTTCAGTTATGCACTTGGGTTCTTTAATGTGTGTGAGAGACTTTAATAGTCGCACAAGTCCCAGCACAGATGCTTCTTAAAGATGTGATGACTGGCAACAAGGTCTTATTCTGTGGAGTTATTCTCATCCTATGCTTGTGAGGACACACTGCTATACATAAACACATCCAAGTAAAAAAAAAAAACTCAATCACCAAAATGCCTGTCCACTTTTGTTATAGTTGCATGTCTTTGTATTATCACCAGCTCTCCCCCTCTCTCTCTCTGTCTCTCTGTCTCTCTGTCTCTCTGTCTCTCTGTCTCTCTTTCACTCTCACCCACTCTCTTTCTTGCCAACGCCATTCAGGCTTAGAGACTGACAAACAGACAGAGGAGCTTAGAACGAACAGCATCTCTCTGAAAATGTCTGTGTGTGCGTGTGTGTGTCTTTGTGTGTCTGTGTGTCTGTGTGTCAGGGGGCCAGTGTGATGCTGAGGGAGACTGGTGCAGTCCATTGTCTGAATCTCTCCCTAGTGGAACTTTGACTTTGACAACAGTCGCACACTGACAAGCTCTGCCAAAACTGGATCTCTCTATATCCCCTTCTGTCTCCTTCTCGCTGTGATTGTCTCTTTATTTCTCTCTTCATCTCTCTCACTCTCTCTCTCTCTCTGTTTTTTTTTTTCTGGGATATTTTTTCTATTCAGTTTTTCATTGTTTCCCTGTCTCACTGGCTCTTACAGACTTTGCTGTGGAATTAACCTGAATGCCACCTTGTTAGGCTGATGTGGATTGATGGATTAATTTGTCACAAGGAGAGCAGCGCGTCTTTGTGTGTGGATGTGTGCGAACTCTACTCAGTGCCACCACACATTAGCACTTTACAGTCATTCTTAGACACAGAATTTAAACAGCTGAACTAAGCACTCACCGCTTCTCTGTC